TTCTTCATGAGACCAACAGATCCTCTCCTGCAACAGATTTATGCCTGGCCTTAGGTTTAGGCAGGACATCTTGTCCATGCGAACACCCCTCATCAGCACCCTCGGGGGGTCTTCCCACTGTCACCTCGCTGCTTCACTTGCGTTTCTCTCCAATTCTGTCTTCAGGATCGAGAGACTGAACCAGTTTCCAGCAATTCTCTGCTCTTCTGTTTTCAGATTGACTCTCGACTATTGCTACAGCTCCAGCGGTATCATGTTCAACACATTATCCTGAAAAAAAATCAAGGATTTGCAGACTGCCTTCAAGACTGGTATCCTTTGAACTCCAAGTCTCCATCGGGATACACCCATGCACCAATCTTGGCATCCACTGGCCTCATGTTCAGAAGTTCAGCAGAAGAGAGGGGACATCCAGGCTGCAGGGAGACATCCCCATTCCAGAAGATGACAAAGACCATCTGTTTTTTACAGATGCAAAAAAAAGCAGGTGGGGTGGCGGAAAGAAAGAAGGAGCAACAAACGGACAAGTTTGGTTTTTGGTTTTTGTCATGCAATATGGGATGTGGGTGCAAAGGAAAGTCTTCAGCAGCGAGGACAACCTTCTCCATAAAGACCTTGGTCTTTATCTCTGGAATCCACTCCCCACTCCCACCAGGGATTAGTCACAAAGGAAAAGATGGTGGAGCTGACAAAAATACATTTTTCAAAGGGTATTTTTTTTTTCTGGGAGTTAGGCTTCTTTTTGGCTTGCTTTCTCTTTTCATTTATCTTTAAAAAGAAAGGGAACTACAAACTTGGTAGCTGCAGAGCAGCTTGCCAGGTAATACCGAAATGGGAATACCTTGTTCTTCTTGGCTTCCCAGATGTCTTGTGGGCCGGGATGGATGGTGCTCCATCCCTGTAACACAGTAAAATTTAGAGACAAAGATCATTATATAGTTTGGTGTTTGTTTGCTTCTGTTGCGTTATGGGGGGGATTCTTCTTTCACATAAGTTGTAAAGTTACAGGGTTTGTCTTGTTCCCATTTAATAACAGTCCTCTCTTGAGTGTAGGGAGAAATTCCTTTTGAGCAACAGGGGGAAAAACAAGGATTTACTCATGAACCCCAGTGGAACTGTACATTTTTACAGAGAACTGCACAATGTGCAGTTACCTGATGCCTTCATGGTGTAACAAGAAGCAAAGGCGGACAGAAAAGTAAAGGCGTTCTGTGAGTTGTTCCTTCAACCCAAATTCTCTCTGGTGGCAGGATCAGTACACATTTCCCTCCAGAAAACAATAAGTATTCTTGGTTATCCGATGTCCTTCCCTGCTGTCTCCCATGTGAGCACTAGA